GGTATATATTTATGCATACTTTTCACGAGTTCTTCATTTTTCTGACTGTAAATGCCGTGCATTGAATTTAACAGAAATGTGAACGAGAGACGTTATTATCTTTGACCCATCAAATGAATGGAGTCATTTATTTTCAGAATCAAAGTTTAACATCAAACATTTACATTAATTTGGCAAAATATGAAAATAATAACAGACAGTTTCACAAATAATGAACTTCAAATCACTCGGCGGTGATTTGAGGACTTTGCTTCAGATATTTCTAAAAATATCTGTACTGATTTATGAGAGAGAGGTGAGTTTAAGAGGAAATTGAGATTTATCTTACAGAGGAATATGTGAGGGAATTTAATCTGTTTGACCAGAAATTGCACGCTCCGTCAGATCTCAGCTTTGCCCACGGTACACTTGGTCGAAGAAGAAGTTTTACCTTGTTGACGATCGATCACCTCAGTAAGAATCCTTTTCAACTGATATCAGCGTCTCCGTTGAGAACTGCTAAAATCCTTAGAGAGTCGTGCGTGGTTAGCTCAAACAGAAATTATAATTCCAAACGTCTCTGGATTCTCGGCAACTCCAAAACTCTCCATAACTCTAGTTCTCTTCTGAACTCCTTCAGAACTTTTCCATTCACCAGAATCTACTGCACTCTTACTCTCTCTAGCTTGATAGAACCGGGAAGTTGTCACATTTTAAATGAGTTTACTTCCGAGTTTACTTCAGAGCTTTCTGATTCGTGGATAGACCAGAAAGAGGAGTGATTTTGTGACGTAAGATGTTATCTAAGCCAAGGTCAGAGGATGAGATTGTTTTAACAACTGACAGAGAGATTATTGCAGGAGAGCAGACTTCGTGGAGTCAACTCTTGGTAATCTTCTGAAAAAGTTTAAACATGACATCTTTCTCGGTAAACATTTTAGTTGACCGAAAACCAACCTTTCACATACTTACGACTTGACTCATTTCAGACAGAAAATCAAGAAATGCATATTCAGGTGATTTCTTCTCTGAATGAGGAATAAAAATCATTACTTACTGTTTATGTAAAATAAAAATGAGTAGTTCTTTTCAACCTGTAAAGCATTGAGTGAACTAACACAATTTGATTATCAAAACATTTGTAAGACAGTAATGATTATAAAGAATTGTCTTTTCTGCTTGATTAATTCAAGAAAGAAAGTCATCAGATGGCCCAGACTTATTCAGATCAATGAAAATAACAGTCTCTGTCCATCTGGTAGATTTGAGGTCATCTGGTTCACTACACAATTTATTATGCTCCTTTCAGCTTATTTCTGCAAGTTTCAGCTTTTTCAGCTACTATTTAGCTGTTTTATTCTAATTGAAACATTTTCAGCTAAATCCGCATTTTTGGCACTCGTTTTAACTTTTTTTCAGCCTGATTCAGCAAAAATGTGCTCTCTCCATTTATTTTTTGGTAATTTCAGCTTCTTTCTGTCTTTTTAGCTACTATTCAGC